CGCCTGGGTATATCTGCTAAGTAAAATTTCAATGGGCAAAAACTTACTAATAAAAATTACAATGGGCAAATCCCCAAATGAAATGGGCAATTGCCCATTTGCCCCCCCCTTGGATACGCCGCTGATGGAGAATAGTGAGAAGATAACAAAACGATGACTGGAAAAAAGTGGAACTAGTGCGTACTGGTGCAACATAGCATGACGTGCGCACTGGTAGTGCCGATCTTTTTTCACTACTGTACTGCGATTCTTTTGTAGGAGAGTCGATTACGTTTTTCACAAGAATCTTGCAAGATCCTTACACTCTAAAAAGTTGTCATTTTCGAGACTAGTCTCGATGGGATGCTAGGACATTTCAGACTAGTCCGGACGCCAGTCAACCACTTTATTTCTTTACCTGGGATGTTGTAAAAAGGTAGAGCTAGCTCAAAATCTTTTTTGGCATGATGGAAAAGAAAAAGACAAAGACGGCTTGTCCACCTAACGGTCTCCTATGTTTCAGGAGTTTGCGTGAAATTTTTTTTCGTATTCGTTCTGTGACACACATCATTAAACGTACTTTTTCACGCTGATCACGAATCAGGGGTAAAAAATTGAAAATCTCAATTTTAAAGTGGTTTTTGAACTTCAAAATCCACTTTAAAATTAAAATTCCGTGCTTATCGAGATAGATGGCGCACAAGTTAGAAAAGTGGAATCCGTTACATTTGGACAGATTGAAGAACAAATTGACAATATAACACAATCTCTTACGTACATGTATATGTGAAAAATTCTGTGTTCTGTCTAGTCACGTACATGACCACGTTACATGTGAATCGGGGTAAGGCGCGCGTAATTCAAAAATCAAGTACAATTTTATTTTTAGCTTTTTTATATATGATTCGATAGAGAATTTGAAGCTGATCACCAATATCGCCTTTTTAGCCTTCCCGGTGCACGTTTGCACTACATTTTATCTTTTACCAAAAAGAACTAGATAGCGTTTTCCGATGAGGTCTCCGCTTTGGAGATATCCTTGAAGATGAATGTTTCGTGCAATGATATTACATATCGGAAGCATAAAAGGCACATTTTCTAATTCGATTTTCAACGCTGAATTAGAGAAAAGCTGTTTGAGAGTTTCAAAATAAAAACGAGAAAAGGTGTTAAACTTTTTTCGAAACGGGAAAGTTTTTCGGCTCTTAAGACCCTTCCCGTATTTTCAATTTTTCGACGCGCAAACGTGCACTGAGAAGGCGATATTGGTGATCAGCTTCAAATTCTCTATCGAACCATATATAAAGAAGCTAAAAATAAAATAGTACCTGATTTTGAATTACGCACGCCTTACCAATTTTTAACCATGCAATATACAAATAACTATACCGTGATCAAAAATGGACTCCCTATCCAAATTAGAAAACAACCTTCAAACATAGTTAAAAAGAACATTTTAAGAAACCACTTACCAGCCATTTTACGTATTTGTCGGACTGTGCATTCGGATGCAACTGCCCGTTAAAAATGAACTTTATTCGGGTGTATATATATATACTGCTCGAATACCAAGAATGTTTTCTCTCACACTCACCTTCACAAAGAATTTTGTCCATATTTCTGTCCAAATATTCACTCTTCTTTTCAAAAAGATTTTTGTTTTTCACAGAATTTAGTGCCTAAAATTCACTCTTCTTTTCAACGCATTCCAATTTCACAAAATTCACTGTCTAAAGTTTCACTTTCTCCCAAAATATGAATAATAGCACATTCCACTAACGATGTTTTTTTCACTTTCTTTCTCTTTCCAGATCTGTATATAAGCAAGCACTTCTGAATATCATTTCACCAGGAGCATTTACTGAAGAAGACTTCAAAACGCGTTTAAATTCTGGTGTGTACTCTCCGTTTTTTGTTATTCAAGCTGTCGTTTTTTTATACATATATATTTCCTATAATAAAAACAAAAATTATAAAAACATATACCCACCAATTTAGTTATTCAAGCAACACCGACTTCATTTTATCCAAACAACAGTATTTTTATCTATCTTATCCAAGTACCTACTTATACCCCATCAATATCGTTTTTATCTTATCCAAGCGCCAGTTTATTTACTCAAACAAATATTTATTTTTTTAATTATTTCTCAAAGTAAAATACAAAAACTTTTATTTTTATTTTGTTTTATCTACAAGCTTTTCTCTTTCCATTTACGCTAAAGCCATGTTTCTGTCATGAGAAATAAAGCAGTTGTTCTCGATAGTATATTTATAGAGTGAATTTTGTACATAGTTGAACATACGTGTTTTCTCTCCCTAGTCAAAAAATGTTTGTTCTGCCTATTTTGTTTTATGATTCTAGATATGAAGAAATTGATTGGATTTTTACTGCTGATTGTGATGGTCCGGTTAAAGAATTTGGACAAAATGACATTTATAACGTCGGAGAAGGTGATCATCATGATATTTTATTCGATTATATTGGAACAACTGGACTAACGAGGGAACTGCCCCAAGTGTCCGCTCGCTTTTTTCTTGAAACCTAGTGGAGAATAGGTTATCGACTATGCTGATTCCGAATATGACAATGGTTTTTGCTGCTAGGCCTTCGAAGACCTGGT